ATGAGGCAGGGTGGCCTCTCTCTGACCCAGGATAGGCTTGGTACTCCGGTCTGATCCAGTACAAAGCTCTTCTATAAATAAGAATTATGGCTCCCCAGGACAAGAGTGAAGTGTCATAGGGTGGAAATGGAGTGACTGATGCCCATGCTGCTATTCTTCCTTGTTGTGACTATTCTAGTTGGTAGCTGTGAATCTTACCTGAAATACCTGTACAACATGAGTATACTCTCCCAGGGAGAGAGGTCTTGTCCCAGTGGAGGATTGACTGCTTAGCTTTTGTTACAGAAGGAAGGGACACAAAAGATAGCAGTTTGGAGTAACTGCCTCTTTGTATGTAAGATTAGATGGCCTCTGTCCAAGTTGATTCTGGGATCCATAGGCTACGTCTACACTGCCCCCAAATTCCAGAAAAGGGATGCAAAGCAGGTAAGTCAGAATAGGGAAATCCGCGGGGGATTTAAATATCCCCCGCGGATTTAAATAAACATGTCCGCCGCTTTTTTTCCGGGTTGGGGGAAAGCCGGAAAAAAGCATCTAGACTGGCGCGATCCTCTGGAATAAAGCCCTTTTCCGGAGGATCTCTTATTCTCCGGAAAAGGGCTTTATTCCGGAGGATCGCGCCAGTCTAGACGCTTTTTTCCGGCTTTTCCCCAAGCCAGAAAAAAAGCGGTGGACATGTTTATTTAAATCCGCGGGGGATATTTAAATCCCCCGCGGATTTCCCTATTCTAACTTACCTGCTTTGCATCCCTTTTCCGGAATTTGGGGCCAGTCTAGACGTAGCCATAGAGTTTAGAAACCATTTCTCTACCATCCTCCTTTGTCATTTAGGGGGTGATTTGTTGAAAGGTAGTCTTTATAGAGGTTCCTAGGCTACTTGTCCTCTTATTTCCACTGGACTTTGATTTCTGTAGGATTATTTCACCCCATTATTTAAGATCTGCTGATCTTCTGCCACTAACATCAGATGCCTGTCGTTGATCTTCTGTTCTCTTAGATGTTGACATAAAGCATCTATTCAGATCTTTTCCTTTGTCAGTGACAGAGCTATTGCATTCTGTTGTTCAGTTGTTACATGAATCCCTCTGATTCTGCATGACTAAACTGGGGCTATTCAGTTTTCATTATATACGTATACTTTACAGCATACTCTATGACCTAATGTCTACATGAGTGACCCTTTCACAGGTTTCTGTACATCTGAAGGGAAACAAGGAATTAGGGAATAATCCATCTCTTAATGAAATCAGTGGGAGTTGTGCTAATGATTTCAGTGGAACTGAATAAGTAATATAGAGAGAGCTTCATTCTCCTTATTTACATGAGCACAGCTCTATTGACTTCAGCAGTAACTCCTGATATTCACAAACGTGAGAGGAGAATTAGGCTTGGGGCATGTTGTTCTGGAATTATTCTTCTCATGTCTTAATTCTCTTTCTTTCTTGCTTGTTTCCTTCATTCTCTTTTTAAATCATATATTTGTAGTTCTGTTAAGTTTTGCTTGTCATCTCTACTGCTTCTCTAATCCTTATATTCTTTGGCTTCTCTTTGATTTACTTCTGTATTTCTGCATCCTGACAGGAAGGATGTCTTTCCAAGCTAAATAAATACAACATATTGGAAAACAGGTAGAACATTTTCCTGCTGTCATTTATCCAAGCTTGTGTTCCTGAGGCTAGGTCTACTCTATACGGTTTTTTTTTTTTTTTTGGAAAAAGCAACACAAATTGCGCTTTGCAATTTGCGTAGCTTTTTCCGATCGCTTTTCTGAGAGAGGCTTTTTTGCCATTTGGCCCCATTTAGACAGGGCCAAATGGCAGAAAAAACTCTTTCAGTGGAGCCCTTATCTCACATAGAACGAGATATACAGGGCTCCCAGAAAGATCGCATTTCCTCTTCCGCAAAAAAAGTGGAAGAGCAAATGCGTTCCCGCAGTGTAGATGTACCCTGAAAGAGCTTTGTTTGGGAAAAGCAGAATTTGGCAGCAATAGTGCCTAGAAGCCAAAAATCCTTAGAATTGCCTGATTATCTTATTAACAGGAAGTAATACTAGGTGGGATTGTGCATTTGAAACAAACAAAAGATTTTATTATATAAAGGCAATGGACTTTAACAGTAAGCAATATTAAATAAAATATTAATATTACTTCCTTTTGAAAATCAAAGTTACTACTAATTTAATCTCATTTTAATTAACAGCTGCCTTTGTGAAATGGTGATTCACAGGTCTGACAAGCATCTATACATGAAAAAGTGTACCTCGTTTAGTTTTATTTATGGGGCTCATGGCATGAAATGTGCATAACTTGCAAAGCTGTGCATTCTAGGAACAAGTGGCCTTTTGTGGAAATGGGGCTGAATAAAATTATGTAAGAACAGAATGTGGTCCTTTACATGTGGTTGACCAATGCAACAGAATTTCCCTGCTCCATAGAGGGTAGGGAAATTCCCTACTCTTCATCAACTTTAGGACAGTTCTGTACTGCTAGCGAAGTGCAAGGCAAAAATATAGCTGAGGATATGGCCTTGTAATCCCCAGCAATAATGGTTTTAAGCAAGTATCTTCATTCATTTCAACATAGGGTTTATATGCAAATTTCCATTATTCAGGAATACTGAGAGCAAAAAAGAAAACAATACTCTGTGGGAACATATGTAAGTTCAGGTCATTTCAAAGTATTGATCACATGACAGACCAGTACATAGTCAGAACAGTCCCTTGTGCATTCAGTGGCTTTTCAAGTCATGTATTATCTGACTCAACCTCCCTCTCCTCCTCTCAGTCCCATAGAAATTAGGGGAAAGTACTCATCCAGATTTGGATCAGACTTTTGGTTTTGATCCTTGTTTTTGCACCTTTTTCTGCAGTGAACCTCCAGACTTGGGGAAAGTTCAAACTGTGTCCAAAACCTGCTGCTTTTCTAATACCTAATGATCCTGAATATAAATACTGGATTAATTAAAGCACACAGTGTGTATCTGATAAACTGGTGTGATTGTTCTGGAGTTGTTGAGGTTTATTATGAAAATACTAAATTTTGTACTATGCGTATTTTATCCTCGGTAGATCACTCTGGCTGCTTGAAAGTGGCTATTATTGCTATACATTTTTATGGTCTTTGAATATTTTATGTTTTTATCTGAGCATTTAACAGCTATTTGGGGACTCTGTGGTCTATTGTGCCATTGAGCATTAAATCTGTGGATTCTTTGGCTGCAAAGCAAGTGAACTAAATTTTTATTCCACAAGCTATTAATAAAATATTTGCTCACTTTGGATTGTTTTTCTCCATGTGCTGAGTGAACAGTGTTTCTCAACAGGGCCAGCTTCTCAGCTGGTGGAAGCGGTATGGTGACTTTGATGGGCCTGCATGAATTTACAGCATCTGAGCATCTAATCCTGTTCCCTTCCCCCACTCATACATTACATGCTCAGTGCCACCAGTGTACCAACCAAAGTAGGAGACCATGACATTTCTGTTCAAAACACACTAAAAATGTCCAGTGTACCGTATAAAATAAGTATAAGGTGGAGAAAGGGAAAGATCTGAAACTATTAATTTTTGTGTAGCTATAAATTACACATGTAGCATTTTAGTGGATGTTTTATTATTGCTTGTTGTTATTTTTATTATGGTAGTTCCTACCATATTCAAATCAGGGCACTATTGCCCAGACATTCGACAAGACATCTTAGTAAAAGACACTCCCCTCATCAAAGAGGTGCAGCCTAAACAGACAAGATGGACAATGGGTTGAATGGGAAAGCAGGACAATGGAAAGAGAAAGATCCAATGTACCAGACTGGGTCAGTGGCAGAAGCTCTTTAAACCTGTGCTCGGAGTCAGGTTTCAGCCTAAGCCTTGCTGCTATCCACACTCTCACTCAGGTTAGCAAGCCTCAGGACCTGGGTCCTAGGACCCTGTGGGTGGGGGAATAAGTCAGAACCCAAGTCTTGTCATTTTGCAGTGTGGATGCATTGGCACAGCTGTGAGAACCAAGTCCAGGAATTGTAAGCCCAAGTTTACAATGCAAGTGCATGTGGAAGCACATGATTGAAAACACCAAGTTCCCAGACCCAACTGTACAATGTAATACAGATGTACCTAAATAGAACAGGTCACATGACCACCAGTTCAGTGCTCTATCCACCAGACTCACTACCTCTCCTGCATGCTGGTTCACATTTGACTATAACGAAATATAGTTGGCTCCCTCCTCAAATGAGTGAGACAGGATGAAGGTTCTCTGTAGATAGACTGTGAAGAGTCACAATCTTGCAAGTGGAAAAGAGATATGGGGTGAAATTCTGGCCCCAGTTAGTGGGAGTTTAGCTATTGAATTCGGTGGGGCCAGTACCATAGCAATACATTCGTTTTGCAAATTTAACATGTCCACTTGTAATTGCAAATGAGAGTTTGATTCACCACTAGCATAACAATCCACATCAGTCATGTTGTGTTTGCTTAGCGATTGAAGTGGTTTCTGCAATGTGAGAAAAAACACAAACCTCCCCTGCGTAGTGGAATGAGCCCACCACCTTATTTCACATGGGTCATGAAATAGCTGGTGGATGAAAATTGTTTTATTAGCAAACTGAATTGCAGAAGTGAGATCTTCACTGAGCAGGCTGAGAACTGAGAAGCTGATGTTATATGTTGATGTCTTGGTGTTTGTGTACTGGTAATGGGGAGGTTGGGTTTGCTTATGTTCTTGACCCTTTGATGCTTCACCAAACTAGATTCCCTCTGAAAGCTGACCTTCTTTGTTCTTTCCAAGCACTGTACTGAAAAACTAAATTCAGTCTCTACCAAGTTGGGCTTGACTAGCGACCATTGTGATGTTCATTTATTTCTGGCATGTACATTTTTCATTCCTTTGTGTAGTTTGCTGTCAGAATTACTGCTATACAATAACAGCATTTCTTTACCCCCAAAAGCTGTCTCTTGTTTCTGGCATTTTGTTGCCAGTGCTCTTCTCATATGTGGTTCTCTTTCTAGCTTTGGCATGATTCATGATGGAGAAGGAAATCCCTGTAGAAAAGCCGAAGGTAACATTATGTCTCCCACGCTTACAGGAAACAATGGTGTGTTTTCCTGGTCTGTATGCAGCAGGCAGTATCTCAATAAATTCCTCAGGTAGGTCAGATATAAGTCAGGAAGACGGTGGCAACTCTTAGAATTGGCTTTCTGGTGCAAATACTTATGATTAGAAATTCAAACTTTACTTTGGAATGGATTTCATTAGTGTGAAAAAGGCCAATACAAAACAAATGTACGAGATGAGTCCACAATCTTTGTCTTATGTGGAATACAAGTGGTAACATAGACCTTTGTGCTGGCCTTCTTCATGGGAATGAATTTTATCCTCTGTGAGTATGCTGCAATATTTACTTGCATTTTATTCTTTTCCCAAATGTTCTTGACTATTTTATATTCACAAAAGTGAATATAAAAAGTATGCTGACAGGGGAAATGAATGAATTTTTCCTGACATAGCCATAGCTGACTATCATGCTATTTCCTTATAGAGCTACTGAAAAAAAAGTGATAAGAACAGAGACTACACTTGATCTTAGCCTTCAAGAGGCCAAGAAAAAATGGTATCCTATTATTTCCTTAGCACATTGGTACAAATCACGGATACTGATAAAATAGCAGCTTAGTTCTAGAATTTAGGGTCAATCTCTTCAACATAAGTTTTCACTTTTATTACATGAACTCCACAATGGCATAATATGCATATATTGCCATTGAGTATAGGAATGGACACTTAGGATGTATCTACACAGCAAGGCTTAACTCGAAATAAGCTACACAAATTGAGTCATGTCAATTGTGTAGCTTATTTGAAATTGAGAGTATCTACACAGCACTTATTTTGAAACAGAGTACTCTTCTTCTGACTTCCCTTACTCCTTGTACAGTGAGGGTTGCAGGAGTCCTCTAGCTTGACAGTATTTCAATATTATTTTGAAATAATTGCCTGCTGTATAAAGGCAGACTAAGTTATTTTGAAATAATGTTGCTTTGTAGACATACCCCAAGATACCAAATTGGGATGCCAGATCATGGGGAAGGAAAAATGACAGAGTTTATGGTGATTTTCTCTGCCACAGTAAGTAATATGACTGTAAATATATAGGAATATTATTAATTCACATTAGCACATTCAAGCATTCAGTAAGGTCCAATAGACACATAAGTTGGAAGGCAAATTGTAGGTAGATGGGACTTCCGTTCTCATGGAATCACAAATACTAAAAAGGAAGAATGATGGATAATAATATGCAATTTTGGCTTTAACATGTGCTCAACTAGCCAAAAACACACAATAAGATTGTGCTCTTAACTAGAACTCTTATATGTCTTTTCACATGAAGAAAATGAAAAAATGACACACTGCACGCATTAGTTCTGCATCAGATTCTATGTTCTACTTCTGGGAAGTGTAATCTGGGGTGAGGGGAAATAAAATAGATCTCCTTGTTCTTGGTTACACTCCCATTAGAAATGGAGAATAGGAAACTGACACCATTTATATATAATATTGCCATAATTCTAGAGTCTGGAAATTCCTGCTTCCTAAAACTTTTCAGGTCAGGCTACCAATAAGAAGTCAACATCTCTTGGCTCCTGCACCAAATATGCTCATTCATTATATGCCTACAAAACTAGTGAAAGGTACTCAATGCAATAACATGTCTTTTGTAGCAAATAAAAGTCTTTTTGATTAAAAAATATATACTCTCATTATAGCACAGCTCAAGCTGCTTGCCTGATTGATGAACCGAAACAAACAGGACAATATAAATACCCTGATAAACTTCCAGGGCAGATCTATGATGCAGATACCCAGTGCAAATGGCAATTTGGAATGAAAGCCAAACTATGCAGCCTCAGTTTTGTGAAGGTACCTGTTAATATCTTTTTGACAAAGGTAAAACTGACGTTAGATAACAGTATTGTTCTGTCAATGATGAGTGCAAAGTAGCACAACGAAGTCTGGATTATTTCTAAACCTGACATTGCTTGGCATATGCTCTGGAGGCCCTTGCCTGGGGGGAGTTGTCCAACCCCAAGAAGAGTTTCAGAAGGCTCTGTGCCTCTGAGATGCAGAATCTTTCCATGATACAAGAAGCACTAACTGAAAGCACAAGCTGCAGGCACCATTCATTTGGATGTGACAGCATGCTCTTTTCTCCAGTTACTATTTACCAGGGTGGTGTGACTAACACCCAGGGGAAACCAAGTGTTGCAGTTGTGTCACTAGTACAGAGTGTGCAAGGAAGGGAGGTTTTTATATGCTCCTTCCGTTTGCAAAAAAGCCTGCTACAATATAGCTCCTCATGAGAAGATTATTTCAGAGTGAGGACAAATTCAGCTTTCAATCCTTAGTTTTTTGATGTAGGATGTAGTCATATTTACCCATTATTTATTTAGGTGGGTGTTCCAGCCCCTTTGATTTATTTAAGGAAGGTGTTCTGTTCAAATCACAATAGGGTCATTCTGAAGAGGATAATTATAATCATCATCATCATAATTAGCTAAGATGCAGCATTTGGGATTATTTTGTGTTAACCAGCATTTTGCTAAGTGACAATTTTTTTCTACAGCCGTTTCCAAACATTTCGGCTGTGTCTACACTGGCCACATAACCCATAATAGCTATGGAAATGAGAGAAGTCAGAATAGGGAAATGCGCGGGGGATTTAAATATCCCCCGCGGGATTTAAATAAACATGGCTGCCGCTTTTTTCCGTCTTGGGGAAAAGCCGGAAAAGAGCGTCCAGACTGGCGCGATCCTCCGGAATAAAGCCCTATTCCGGAGGATCTCTTATTCCTACTTGCAAGTAGTACTTACCTATCAAGAGAGACACTGCAAGTAGGAATAAGAGATCCTCCGGAATAGGGCTTTATTCCGGAGGATCGCGCCAGTCTGGACGCTCTTTTCCGGCTTTTCCCCAAGCCGGAAAAAAAGCGGTGGACATGTTTATTTAAATCCCGCGGGGGATATTTAAATCCCCCGCGGATTTCCCTATTCTGACTTCTCTCATTTCCATAGCTATTACGGGTTATGTGGCCAGTGTAGACACAGCCTTTATGTGTGTTACAAGAAAATTGATTCCCTCCACATTTTTAGGAGGCCTGTAGACCTGTTCATGTTCTGCCCTTGGAGTTTTAATAGATTTTTGGTTCTTTTATTGTCTCATCTTGAAAAGACAAGAAAATAATGCTGAGAACCAAACTTGAAAATGTTCCTAAAATATGAACTCAGTAGACCAGCATGTATTATTATGTTATAAAACATAGAACTAGATCTTCTCTGTTCAGAAATGGGTCTAATTCATAGAACTTTTATGATAGCAAAGAAATGCTTTGAAGAAGTGTCACTCAAGAAAACTTCTACACAGCAGCATACAATGGGGGAATTCTCTGATTTTTTTCTAGGATATATGCAAATCACTCTGGTGTCATAAAGTAGGTCATAGATGTGAAACAAAGTTCATGCCAGCAGCAGAAGGAACAGCTTGTGGCGTAAGTATGGTAAGTTACTTAATTAGTGCCACTATAGTATTTTAACTTAGAATGCAGTGTACTGAGGGCCTGATCCAATTCTCATGAAGTCGCTCAAAAATCCAATGCTTTTAATGGGCGTTAGATCAAGCCTGCACATTTAGGCATGGCAGAAGCAGCATCTATTTTAGTGTAGCTGCTTTTGCTAGGAATTAATTTGACTCACAGTCTATAAATGTATTATCCTTATTGATCAGCTTATTAGAAGGAATCTGAAAATACGTCAATTTGCCTTACAATTACAAGGTAATTGCAAGTATGAGAGATAATAATAATCATAATTGCTATTGATATGTGTGATTCATTAATTACTGATATTTTATTTCACTTTAACATGTAAGTTGTATTGCATATTTCTGTAATTTTCAAGTGCCTGATTTTGTTTCCTTGCTCTATTGGAGTATTTTTCTTCATTACACCCTTTTCTCCTATAGCAATAACAGTTAATTAATAGCTAGTGGGGAAAATGGCCTCTCATTTTTATGTGCCCAACCCTGAATGTCTGGGGCTAATTTAGAAGTGCTAGGCACCAACAGCAGCTGTTAACATTAGCTGGACTTTTTGGCACTCATTGCTTTCATAGGACATCTGGATTTGGCCATCCAAAATTGAAGCACCCACAGCTGGATGCCACTTTTGAAAATCTGGTCCTCACATCATTTCAGCATAGGCAGAGATTCAAAGCTAACAAATAGTAGAGGTTTACTTTGTAAATGTCATCTCATTTATCTTTATAAGACCCAGCACCTCAATCCTGCTAACACTTCTGTGAGCCATCACATTGCATTCAGTGGAACTGCTAATTTATATTGAGTTAAATGAATGCTTTCATGTTGGCAGAATTGGTACCTAAGTGTTTTCTTCTCAGCAACCTACTAGAGAGCACTAGTTGTGATTTGGACATTTGTTGACATTTTTTTGACAGTGGTGTCGAAGAGGTCAGTGTGTCCGATATGGAGATCATGGACCCAAGCCTGTTAATGGCCAGTGGGCTGCGTGGTCGGAGTGGTCCAAGTGTTCTCGGACCTGTGGAGGTGGAGTTACCTATCAAGAGAGACACTGCAATAACCCAAAGTAAGACACTGATGTGGAAAGGTATAATTTTAATAATAATTATTTCTGATATTCTAACTAAAAAGGGTAAAGAGTAGATTTTGTTGCAAATTTACAAAGGGTTAACAGTTTCTGAAACTCTGAAAGAACTCCACAGTACACTGTGAACAGTAGTTACAAAACAGTAGCATGCTGCGCTCTGAAAGGTAGAGCGTAATATCGGGAACCAAGGGGCTGTCCAAAGCCTGCTGATCTAAATAAAAGTATACCTATTGACATCAATGGGTTTTTGATCAGGCATGACTGAATTTTAAATAGAACTGGTTAAAACATATGTTTGGAATAAAAATGGGACAGCATTTTGGCCAAAAAACCTTATTAGCAGTCTATGGCAGAACACTAACTTAACTTTTACTGTTGTGTATCAATATTATTGCATTGAGACAGGATTCGTGGTATACATGAATTCACAGCAGTCTCTAGACATGCACAGATAGATTCTCCATGGAAAGTCACCAATACATTTGATTTTCTTTGTTAGTCCTTTTCTGTGACAATTTTAATGCAGGTAGATCGATTTAAATTTTTATGCTCAAGTTTCCATGGATATTCAATCTATCTATTCCTCTATCTACCTACTCAGTGCTCTTTGCTCAAGTTCTTGTATGGCCATCTTGGCACAGTACAGAATACAGAAGAGGGACTAATTGAAATGTTTCAACTAACTCTAGTACTATGACTTATATTTCAGTCAGTGTAATAAGTAAACCATTCCAATGGGAACTGTGTATGACTGCCATATTATGTATTTAAACCATCACTCAGAAATGTGTGTTATGAACTCTGGTATGAACACATGCTATGTTCAAGACCAGGACTTCATCTGGTCTCTACCTACTCTAATTACGTTGTGCTAATGGTAATTCTCTTAGGGCCAAGAGGAGTAACTGTAAATCTCTATCAGAATTGGATTTATGAAACCTCAGCACTATAAAAACACTGTCTACAAAATGCCTAGGATGACTAAATATACATATTGATGTATTTCACATCCCTGACCAATAGTTCTTTTAAAATAAATGTGAATGCACTGGAAAATAGTCTTTAGCTAGTTACAATGTGGAAACACAATAAAAAAAAGCGTGAGACATTCACTGTATTCTGTGCAGTGAGACACAAAATCCTAATGATTAAGTATTCCAAATTCCCGACAGTCATTTCTGCTTTCTAAATTCAAAATGTGTGAGGAAAACAAAATTTGTTTCTTCCACACTTTGATTTTCCAAATACTTTGAATGCTACCAGGCATTCAGCTAACTAAGCCCTAACTCTGTGAGTGAAATTCAGTCTTTTCAGAGAATCAGCATGATGACTATGCCGCACTGAGGATTCATTTCACACCTCAACATAGGGCTCCTAAATAAATACCCTGAATTTCAAAAGCATTGAGTCTCTAATGACTTTAGGAGGAACTACTAGATGTTCAGTGAGTTTGGAGATCACATCACTTATTTGAGCTTAAATATGTAAGTAAATTTAGATTCCTGCTTTTGAAAGTCTTGTCCTCTGAGTGTGTGTGCATGCACATGTGTGTGAGTATGAGTCTCTTCCTGTAAATAATACCCAACCAATTCTATTTCCCTTTCGTTGATGTTTGTAAGACAGCCACTGTGGTCCTGCCCTAGAGTCTTTTGAAACAGTCTGAATGACTGTCTGAATTACGCATGAATTTACTGTACCAAACACCTACTGAGGTCATCTGTAGTACACTGAGAGCCATGTAGATTTGTTAAACTCATTATGCTTGTATAAATTGCCACAGTATAATTTCATGGATCTGGTTTTCATACATCACAACATTTTACAATTGAGATAGTTTCCCTAGAAATAGATTACATAATTTAATAGTTGAGCTGGTAAGGACCCTGAATAGTGCCCAAGAGATGTAAATTAATACCTAAGTCATATCTGTGGGATTATGTCCTACCCACTTCATAATACTGCACTGTTCGCTAAAATATTAGAACACAGTTTTAGACATGTGCATAATAAAAAGACTAAAACAATATTTTCTAACTAAAACAATTTCTTACTCTTTTGTATTCAATTTAAGAATGATTATGGGCACTAAAAATTTAACAAATGATGCAGTTTAAAACAGTAACTAATCAAGTTTTATAAGGTCCACAGAAGAACTCTGTAGACCATTGATTTCATATAGGAAAAAACCCCCGTAACTTAGCTTTGCAATACTATTTTTATCATTTGAGCCTAAGGTGTGTGCACATCTAGATGTAAACTGTTCCAAAATTTGAAGGAGCTTCAAGGCAGCACTTCATGATCTAGTTACCATTATTAATTGTAATTCATTAAACACCATCTCTGTAAAGAGCAGTATACAGATCATTGTAGTGTATTGTTTTGTATTACACCTAGCAGCTTCAAATGAATAGTCATCCCAGCTCTTTCAACTGTTGTCACATCTTCTCCACTAAGGTATAAAATATATATCTGTTGTTTTTGTTTTTTGAGGAAAGTGTGACTTCATATTCAGTTAGCTACTACTATAATGATGAAATGTGCCTATGGTTATACATATGTATTAGTTAAAATAGTTTTGGAGTGGCACTTCTTTATTATGGGCATTACAGACTGGCAAATTCATTTAAGACACAGTAGTAATACTTTAATACCTTAGGTCAATTATTAATTGCATTATTTATTAGTACATTTATTGGAGTCTGTACTTGGACTCTTTGAGATACTGAATAAATTAGTCTTTGGAGTTTATTCTTTGCAGCTACTACTTCAAAACTCCTTAGATGTTTTAGTATCCCTTTCACTATTCTATTGTCTGAATCCTGAAAACACCTAGACAGGTGAGTAACTTTAGTCCTATAGGTAAAATTATGTGTGTGTGTGTGTGTGTGTGTGTGCGCATGCATGTATGTATGAGGGCTATCAACTTTAAACTCTTTGGCTACGTCTAGACTACATCCCTCTGTCAGCAGAGGGATGTAAATGAAGCACTTTGAAAGTGCAAATGAAGCCTGGATTTAAATATCCCGTGGTTCATTTGCATAATTACATAATGGCACTCTTTCGAAAAAGTGCTATTTCGCAATTGAGGTTTTGAAATTGAGGGTTACAGGATCTTTTGAAAAAGCGCCCCATTTTCAAAAGAACCACGTCTAGACTGCAGCTTCAATTTCGAAATAGCACTTTTTTGAAAGCGCGCCATTATGTGATTATGTAAATGAAGCACAGAATATTTAAACCCCAGCTTCATTTTCACTTTCGAAGTGCCTCATTTACATCCCTCTGCTGACAGTCTAGACGTAGCCTTTGGGACAGAGACTGTGCACTCCTATTTCTATTTGTAGCACAATATTTTTCTGCTAAACAAAAACAATAATATTATTTGATTAGTATATATATGGCTAACTCTGTGTTTAGCCTCTCCCCATCCCAAACATCCATAGGACAATAGAGCCAGTCTGCTGTTTTATAAAGATTGCCCCTTCTACACAGTAACAGCTAAGGATTGTGGCCCCAATTTAGCACTCCAGTTTCGTTGGACAGCCCATATAAGGGCTTCCCAGAGTGAGAGGTCTTCTAATTAGTTTCTCCTCTCTGGGAGTAATTCATTGATAAGGAGCAGAGATGGTTAAGGAGAGCCCTATCCATACCCTGCCTCCCACTAAGTCACTGACCAACAGTTTGGGAGAGAGTGGAGTATGGTTCACCATTTACAGGTCTGCAGCACCAATGGGAAGCTAGAATCCTTCTCTCGGTGCTTCTTTAGGTCAGTGAGGCTTTACACTACCCTCAGTTGCAAGACTTAGTCAAAAGCCACAGTCTGACTCTAAATGATTCTGTTATTTTGCTTGTTATGTGGTTTATACTTAGGGAGTTACTTCTTTCCCCCCACCTACATATAAAGAGTCTTGCTCTGTAGGCCAAAGGAAATAAAATAAATCAAACAAGCTGTGAAGGAAAAGGTGTCTGAACAGAAATGAGTATGGGGCCCAAAAACTTTTTCTACTTTACTCAGGGAAACTCCCATCTGTTACACTCAGTCAACATATATACTCTCTGAGCTGAAGAATAGTTCTGGCTGAACTGAACGGCTGCTAATCAGGATGGGAAGCATGCCTTAGTTCACAATATGCCCAGTGTTAAGATGGTGAGTAACAATCTAGTCGTTCCCTGGATAAGGTCAGTGCCATATTGTTCCCTAAAACATATTTCCCTAGTGTAGTACTCTGCCCAGTTTGAAATGGACTAACAAATGAATTTCCATCACTTCCTTTGAGATTGTAGTCCAACATTCACTGAAGACTTCTGAGAAAGCCAGCTATTGTATTGCCTTTAAAGCTGCAATGCTAATTCAAGACATGGAAACAGACTCTAGCTTGTTTTACAAACGTATGAGGATTAGAATGCAGGAATAAGCAGATAGTATAAAAATGTAATTACAAAATGCACCTGGAATCTCTTACTCACATTTTACCTTGTCCCCTCAACATCTCTCCATGATGGATTCAACAGGAAAGCATGTTAACATAAATTATAAGATATACTGGACACAAGTACATTTATAATACAGTGTGTAGGGATTTAAACAAACTACTCCCATTATCCTAGTTAGGAACTGTGCAAATACTGCACCATGTGAGTTATTCTGGTAGTGTTTCCCTTGACATAAGTGTAGCACAGCCAAACCATTCACTGAAAGACCATAATATGCATTCCAAATGCATATTTTCCCTAACATTTTTAACCGTCATTAGACAAAGATATGCAGGTGCAGAATTGTAACAAAAGTTCTAGTCACATCTTTTTTCACTAGATGCAAGGCTCAGTGGAATAATGCAAAGTATTTGACGATGATTAGGCTGCTGGTTTGCTGAGAACACAACTTACCATGCTGGCCAATACGATCACATTCTTTTCTTGTTTTCCCCTGCCCATCTGTTTATATCCATCTATTTTTTCTTGTGTTGTACATTGAATGTAAGCTCCTTAGGCCAGGGGCTGTTCTTTTGTTCTGTGTTTGTACCGCACCTAACACAATAGGGTTCTAGCATGACTGAAGCTCCTAGGCACTATGAAAATATAAATTACAAAAAGTCCTGGTTGGGATGATTTAGTTAGGGTCTGTCCTGTTTTGGGCAGGGGGCTGAACTCAATGACCTCCTGAGGTCTCTGCCAGCCATATGATTCTATTATTCTAAATAAATAATACTAACAACAACAATGAAATCATTGAATGTTGGGCACAGTGGCATATTGGAACACTGCAAAACTGCACATTGAAACCATAGCACCAGTAGATTTCTATGTAGATCCACATGGAATAGTAATCAGCTTCTCATCAGTTCTAGTAGGCATTCTGAAAAAAGCAAGGGTTGCATTTTTAATTTGTTTACATTTATAGGCATCCAACTAATAGTTAAAAATCTGATTATATAATTAATATATGAATACCTGCAAACTAATAAAATAGTTTGTCTTCTTACTAACCCAAATTTAGAAAAGCATTGCTGTTCAGAAGGGTATTCAAGTGCATAATTAAAATCCATTGAAGTCTGTGTACTTTAGACATGTTTAAAGTTAAACATGTGGTTAAGCACTTTTCTATGTCAGAACAACTGTGCGCTATCCTTTGTTATTCTGTAAGGGTATGGCTAGACTTCATCTTTTTTTTGGAAAAAGCTACGCAAAATGCACTTTGCATTTTGCATAGCTTTTCCCGACTCTTTTGTGGAAGAGGCTTTTCCAACATTTGGCTGGTCTAGACTGGGCCAAATGTCAGAAAAAAACCTTCTTTCGGAAGCCCCTTTCTTCCTCGTAGAACGAGGAATACAGGGATTCCAAAAGAACGTGTTTGCACTTCCTCAAAAAAAAGCGGACGTGCAAAAACGTTCTCTGGACATGGTGGTGGTTTTTTCGGGATACCTTTGTTATCCTGAAACGCCCCCCTTCCCCCCACACACAGTCTAACCATACCCTAAGAGTTGAGCTGGTGGGTTTAAAAGGAACCTGTTAAAAGGAAATGTTTACATATTGTAGCTTTAACATACCAGAATGCAATTGTTTATTCAATGTACACGGAGTCCTCAGACTTGTAATATAGTTTCTTCCTCAGAATTGTGTTGTAAATCAGAAATGCTTTTCCCAAGCATCAATTCCATAAAGAAGGGATTGGTTCCTGAACCAAAGCTTGATACGCTATTTTCACCACAATAACCCAGATGTTTGTACTAAAAGAATTATGGATAACTATATGTAGCAACATCAGGGCATTTATTTGGTAAACTGCATTCACGGAAACATATACAATCACATATGCTTTAACTTTCCAGAAAGGAGCTGCAAGAGGGTCCTTGCAGTTTCTTGTTTGATTGGCTTATACGTCCATGGTCGCTTGTTGCCAGGTTATCCTTGCCACTTGTTTTACATTGGCTTCCAGCCCCTGGCTTAGCCAATCACAATGCTGGAATAATGAAATCAGTAATTAACTGAAGCTCAGCATGTGATGTGTACTGTTTTCCCTGCTGGCTTTTTTTGTAAGGGTGAAACAAGCATCGTAGGGATGAAATAGGCAGTCAATTGAAAATGTTATGAGTGGCATTCAGCATAAGTCAGGTGTCACAAGTCTGAGGACTCCCTCTGTGTTTGATTGGTTTCATGTTATCTATTCTTTTTTCTTTATTAATTCCTATTTTGGTAAATAATTATTGTTGCATATATGTGAATTCTTGGATTACGGTAGACTGAAAACTAGGAAATATCAAGTCAGTACATTAGTATTGTCTACTTTCTCAGGTCAATAATTCTGAGATCTATAATAGTGTTTGCCAATCATATCATACATGCAAATAAAAACATCCTGATTGGCAAAGAGTTTAATTCAGCAAAACTATTATTCACGCTAGATATTCACATGATTAAATTGATATCTTAACGATCCGAGCATATAGTGTATGTTAAGTACTTGACTTGGTTTTGGTGAGAATTATAATTAATTGTCTCTTGAGAGAAATAGTGATCTTTTCCAGCAAAAAACCATGTGAGTTAGCTTGAGAGAAATCAATAGAATGCTGATTCTTAATGAACTGTCATTGAATGATTCTAATTGGTGTCAAACATATCCACTTTTGGTTTTGCAAAAGATTCTTTTTTTTTTTTCCTTTGTAGGCCACAGTATGGTGGCAAGTTCTGTCAGGGCTCCAGTCGTACTTATCAGCTTTGCAATATTCAGACATGTCCACCCAATAGTCTGGATTTCCGGGCCCAGCAGTGTGCAGAATTTAACAGCAAGCCTTTCCGTGGGTGGTACTACAGTTGGAAGCCCTATACTAAAGTTGAAGGTAATTTGGCCATGGTTCTGATTGACAAAATAATTTGCATGAGGCAGGTTACTTTGTTATAATTCATTGATATTATCTGGGCCAAATACAGGCCTTCTGTAAGCTTATGGAAATGCTGGGAGACCTTTCTGGAGCTCTATTTGCTTTACAGCATGGTTGAATTTGGTTCTCGGTGTTACATGATGTGTAAGAGTCTGCAGAGAAGTTGGCTTGTCTTATGGATTTAGATCTCTATCCTCTGTTCCCTGATTACGCTGTCCCTAACTTTTGTTTTATACTGCTTTTTTGTTGTTAAAACAAAACAAAAACAAAAAACAAACTAAACCTAAACAACAAACAACCTGTTCCCAAAAGATTTCTATATGGGAATAATCAACATCCACAATAACATGCCAGAATCTTCATTCATTGGGAATGTTCTCAGATTTCTGAATATACCAGTAAACCGATCCTTTTGAGTTTCCTACTGGTATAGTCTCATGAGAATTGTTGTTGGGACTTTATGAGATTCATGATTCACTAATATTCCTTCTGTGTTGCTTAAGTGTATATTTATTTTTCCTGCATATGACTCAATTTTGTAAACAGCCAGAATCTTCGTTAGGATTTTGTTGGATGTTAATAACTACAAATAGTTTCAAAGCATAGTGAATTGCTTAAATGAAGGTGGTGGGAATATGACATATTGTGACTGCTTTGCTTAGAATAGCCAGAAGTTGTCTTCAAGTATCTTGAGATGGCTTATTTTTATATACATATATATTTTTTAAAATGTTTATATTTGTGGTCTGTTTAAATATTCTTTAGAGTTAGTAGGAAATACAGTGATTAAAGCAATCCTTATTTATACAGCCATATTGTAAGTACTTTGATTACAGTTTAAAGCCAAAAAACAGGACTATGTAGCACTTTAAAGACTAACAAGATGGTTTATTAGGTGATGAGCTTTCGTGGGCCAGACCCACTTCCTCAGATCAAATTGTGAAAGAAAAACTCAACAGAAGAAAAACACGGTTACATCTCTATTACTGTTTAGAAGCCTACACTCTGATATAACCATTGTGGATGGGAGGAATTTGTAAAACTAAAGAGGAGTGATCTAGTTGGAGTGGATTCATAATTAATTGGCAAAGTCTATTGCCTTAAATCTTTCATATGATGTATCTTGTTTAACACGTACTGCCATGGTGACACATTTATTTTAAATTGGCCAAAATTTTCATAAATAGGAGACTAATTTTAGTCACTAAGGAAAAAAAATCAAAAGCAGCAGAGAAGATTTAGGAGCACAAGTACTGTTGAAAGTAAATAGGATTTACACACCCAAAGTCCTATACATACTTTTCAAAATCTCCCCCTAAGTCTATCTGTAGACTTATAAAATATGTGGGCTGATTTTCAAAACTATTGAGTAGCTTTCACCTTCAATGGAAACTTCTGGGTATTGAAAATTAGAATATTTGGAGTATGTTTACATGGCAAAAACCACCTGCCTCAGCAAGTCTCAGAGTCTAGGCCTATAGACTTGGGTTCATATTTCAGTACTAAAAAAGAACCATGGAGATATTCTTGCTCAGGCTTGAGCTCCAGCTCTGAAGCCCCACCATCCCCCTTCCTGGGTTTCAAAGCCTGAGCTCCAGCCTGAATATCTAATACTAATACTAATATTTAATTTAATTTCATTTAATTTAAAATATCTAATATTTTAATACCATAGCATGAGTCCTTTGAGCCTGAGTCTAGAGACAGAGGATATGTCTACAATACGGGGCTTTTATCAGAAAAAGGAACGCAAATTGTGCTCCACAATTTGTGTACCTTTTTCCAATAGTTTTTTCCTAAAAGGCTTTTCCAAAATCTGGCCCATCTACACTGGGCCAAATTTCAGAAAAAAACCCCCTCTTTTGGAAGAGCCCTTCTTCCTCATGGGAGGAGGAAGACAGGGCTTCTGAAAGAGCGTGTCGGCTCTTCCGCAAAAAAAAAAGTGGAAGAACAGACGCGTTCCCTGAATGTGGCGATGTTTTCCAGAATACCTCCATTTGGGAAAAACCCCGTAGTGTAGATATAGCATTTTGTTTGTTTGTTTGTTTTTTTCAATATAGCCATACCCATAGTTAGGAGCTGAAATATTTATTTAGCAGTCTATCTTTAGCCTCCTGTTTTTTGAAATCCAGGTGCTTCAGGGGGAGGGATAGCTCAGTGGTCTGAGCATAAGCCTGCTAAACTGAGGGTTGTGAATTCAATCCTTAAGGGGGCCATTTAAACATCTGGGGTAAATCTGTCAAGGATGGTACTTGGTCCTACTATGAGGGCATGGGACTGGACTTGATGACCTCTCAAGGTCCCTTCCAATTCTATGAGATAGGTATATCTCCATATATTGATAGTAAGTGATGATGTATCCCATCTATGAACAGCAATCATTACAATACAATATAATAGCTGGAGGTGTAATGTTAGATCTGTGTATAAGAAGGACTTTGATTGGCAGCTAGCTGTGTGCATGGATGGCCCTAGATCAAATGATGTCCCAAGCAAGTATTTTTGGCACCCTCTGTTTGTTAAGCTTTTGAATACCTTATTTTTATTGCATTGGTAGCCCATTTCACAATGTTGCATGCAGAATTTATCTCTTTGGAAGGAGGGGGCGAATGAAATGTTTTTCAGTAGAAATCCTGGGCCCCCAGTCTTAGCTTCCAAATAGACTGATCATTTTTGCTATCTTATGTGCTTATGTGCTCTTAGTTTTTAAATGAAAATATTATAAATCCCTAGCCTATTTTTGTTAATAAAAAATGAAACTTGAAACTGTGAACAAATGGTGCTGAAATTTGAGGCCGTATCAGTCACAGAGGTTGGAGAGACTGAAGCAGAGCTAATGGAATTTACATGGTTTCATAATGATGTTGGATTTTAATTATATATGTCTTTGGGGATTGCCGAATCCATGTGTTATTTTAAAATAATATATTAGCTACTGTATGTCTGTTCTACTCATTCTGGGGTTCTAAAGATGTGATAAACCACTCAAGCGTGATCCTTGTCGTTTCAGTTGGTCACCAAGATGGTAGAATGGAGTAATAATAGTTGTCAGTTACTGTATTACTGCACTTTTTGCCCCTTCTAGTCTCCTTGAGTACATCCCATCAGACCTTGGGCTTTGGGCCATCACCTGGCTCTTGGTGGAATCTCACACTCTGAGTCCCCTGGGTATCAACTGTGATTACCTAAGTAGGCCTGACCTATGCCCCTTCCTTGCAATTCTGTTCCTTCCAGAATCAATTATTTTAGTACCCAGTGACCACACAGGCATGTGCCCTTTTCTCACAAATCCTTTCCCTCTCCTAGCCTCAGGATGAAAGTCCTTTAGAAACTGTTTAGTCCTCTTGACCCTCTTTCCCAGCAGCCTGCAGGAGGTAGAACAGAAGATCCTTTAAGATGATGGCTTTATCCATTGTTTTTTAAGGATGTGCTGGGGTATTCTCAGCATCCATTTGTCTTGGTAGGGAAGTTAAAAAGCATTGAATCAAGTAAATGTGTAACTGCTGAAAATTTCAGCAGTTAGACAGTAACAGGTGGGGGGCAGGAGAGCTGATGTGTGTGGAGAGCTGGCTTTTAAGCCGGCTTCCTGCACATAATGAGAGCCTGTGTGTAGCTGTGAAGGTTAAATGATAATCCCAGGCTCATCAGTTAACTGTATACACGGGTCACACTTTCACATCCCTATTTCTTGTTGGGGATTGTTCTCCTGGAATTCAAGAATTATGGGTGTATAATAAACATTCCACTAACCCTAATATGAGTTAGATCAGTACAGTTACATAGGAAATTCTAAGAACATGACATAGTTCTAAAGTAATTTTTTCTCAGTGACCATGTCAGATGTAGAGTTAATAAAATTTGCCCATAGCTCTATTCATAGAGCAGTTCCACACTTATCACAATAATACTTTGTACTTCATTGAACATAAGAGCAGCCATACTGAGGCAGACCAATGATCCCTCTATCCCAATATCTTGTTTTCCGACAGCAGCCAATGCTAGGTACTTCAGAGGGAGACAGTCATCAAGTAACCTACCTCTGGTTGTCCACTCACAACATCTTGCACTCAGGGGCTAGATGTTCTTGCTCTTGTTGTTGTATCCCTGACTGTCTTGGCTAATAGCAATCCATGACCCTATCCTCAGTGCACTTACCTAATTCTTTTTTGGAACCCAAATTATAAGTTTGCCCTTCGTATCCCCTGGCAATGACTTCCACAGCTGACCATGCACTGTGTGAAGATGTACTGCCTTTTGTTTGTTTGAAACCTGCTGCCTATCAATTTTATTCAGTGACCCCTGGTTTATGTGTTATGAGAAGGAGTAAATAACACTTCCTTATTCTCTTTCTCCATACCATTCATTGATCTTGCTGTACCCCGCCCCCCAAGCACCTCTTTTCCAGCCCAAAAAGTCACATACCTCATTGTATGGAAACTGTTCCATCCCCCTAAACATTTGTGTTCCTCTTCTCTATATCTTTTCCAATTTGAAAAGATTTTTTTTGAGATGGAGTGACCATCAGCACACAGTATCCAAGGTGGGGGATACCATAGATTTATTTAGAGGCATTGTGATATTTACTGTCTTATTCTCTATCACTTTTCTATCCCTTTTCTAATCTACTTATCTCCTCATATTTTCAGAAGACGATAGATGTAAATTGTACTGCACCGCTGAAGATTTTGACTTTTTCTTTGCCATGTCCAGCAAAGTGAAAGATGGAACCTTATGCTCCCAGAACAAATATGATGTTTGTATTGATGGAATTTGTGAAGTAAGATAAACCAAAGTTTCTTTTTAGTAACTGTCATTTTTAAGTGCACAATTGACTCCTTAATAGACAATTCAGCTGTTACATGATGTTCCCTTGTATCTGAGTCCTTCTCTTCTGCCTTTTGCTTTCAGCAAGTAGGGTGTGATCGTGGACTAGGTTCAAAAGCAGCTTTGGATGCCTGTGGTGTTTGTAAAGGAGATAACTCAACGTGCACATTTTTTAGAGGCCAATACTTGATCCAGCACAAAGCTAATGGTAAGGAAAGTTGTTCCACATGATCATCAGCTCATTGCTCTGCTGGATCCCCATATAGTACAAATGAATCTTTGCTCATTAGGGCAGTGGCTCAAAATCCAGATGTAAACTGAAAGGGAGAGGAGAGTTCATATCTCTGCTGTTCCTGGCTTACAAGAAAACTATAATCACAAGTCTTCCTTAGTTAATTTGCAAGCATTTTATTGTTACTTAAAGCACTTACCACACTCACCCTGCTGTGGGGATTTTTGTTACAAAAAAGTTTAAAGGGTAGAGTGTTTAAGGGCGGAGGTGAGTGAAAAATCTCTCCCTAAACCAGCAATTCTCAAACTTTGGGTCGGGAACCTCAAAGTGGGTCACAACTCCCTTTGAATGGGGTCGTCAGAGCTGGCTTAGACTTTCTGGGACTCAGACCTCAAGCCCAAGCCCCTGTGCTACAAAGCCTCAGGGCTTCAACCATGAGTAGTAGAGATCAGGTTACAGGATCCCTGCCTGGGGCTGAAGCCCTTGGAGCTTCAACTTCCACTCCCCCCCTCCGCCCCATTCAGAGTGGTGGGGCTCAGGCTTTGACCCTGGACTCAGGGCAGTGGGGTTCTGGTGGGCTCAGGCTTCAGACCACTGTTCCAGGGGTTATGAAGTAATTTCTGTTCTCAGAAAGGGGTCATGGTGCAATGAAGTTTGAAAACCACTGCTCTGCTCTGAACTGTTTGGTCTTGAATGAGATTGTGGGTGATATAAATAGTTGTTAATGACAACAACTCACCAATATGGGGCTGGCAAAGGGGGGAACTACCCCGGGGCCTGGCAATTTCAAAAGGGCCTGGGTCTCTCCGCTATCACAGGGTATGTCTACACTACCCTCCTAGTTTGAACTAGGAGGGTAATGTAGGCATACCGCACTTGCAAATGAAGCCCGGGATTTGAATTTCCCGGGCTTCATTTGCATAAGCGGGGAGCCGCCATTTTTAAATCCCTGCTCGTTCGAACCCTGTGCCGCGCGGCTACACGCGGCACGAACTAGGTAGTTCTC